ATGCCCTGGGGTCTGTTGTGAAACCTGTAGCGTTGCACCACAGATTTACACGGACACCGGATTCTTGCTCAAACCTGCAAATGCTTCGCTGAACCTCGTGCGTTTGCTTCTGCGAGTCATATGGCGTTGGCATCGGTTGATTTTTTTGTAATGTGACTTACGTATGAGCACCTTTTGATCACTGGTGCACAATTTTTCGGAGGCATAGACAAAGTCAAGATTCGTCAAGATCCAAAATTATAATTTTCTTTTCTTCTAAAGAGATAAAGCAGAAAAAAGAAAGAGCAAAAGCAAGACAAGTGAGCAAAGCATGTGCCAACTAAAATACGAACATCCTGCCTGTCTTTTTTTTTTCCCGTACACATACACGCTCAATCTCTCTCTCTCTTTCTGTTTTGAAGAGTGCTCAGCGGTTGTGTTATGACAGAGATTCTTTTGTTTGGATTATGAGGCAGAGGAAAGGGGAACAACAAGCCGTACTGCTGTTTTTACTGTCAGATAAACAATATTTTCATAAGGTGTTTCTCATCCTCTCAGATCAGAGGGAGATGACTGATTGAGACATGCAGGATCTATTTCCAACCAACACAAACACACTCAGTGTGTCCACCTGTTCTACTGACGGCTGTGGAAGTGTGACATGGCCTTATAGTTTGATATAAAACAGCTTTATGAAGCTGAAGTCATGAAGTAGGCCTTGCTTTTATTGGGTGTTGTTATGCATTAATATGTCTCCATTTTATTTTCAAAAAGAGCTAAAATAATAACAAATCATTGCAACATACAGTAAAATCAATGCTACATATCAGGAAAGTCATCGGCCAGCTGGAATTCCATTCAAATCATAGAGAAAATAAAAATAAAATCTGTGAAACCAGTCTTAAATCAACATTTAAAGGTAATCTCTAACATACCACAGGAAAACAAACACAAAAGCACCCTTCTAAATAAAGATTACCACATATGTCTATGATATATTACAACAATATTACTACAGAAACAGACTTCAATTTAGTCAAAATTTTTTTTAAGTAAATTAGATTTTAAGCATTCTATTAGATAAATGCCACATGACTGTTCTATTGTCAATAAAGTTCACTGTGCCATTAAGCAAAACTGAACATTTTTATTATATTTCGTGATATATCTAAACCAAACAGAATGATTAAAGATTTTGTCTCCTTCTTCTTCTTTTTTTTTTAATAAGGGGTAGTTATCACAGTCGTTGTCCACTAAAATCTAGCCAAATCTAGCCAAGACTATATTTCTTATGTAACCCATTTTTGACACATTTAATATTTAATTAATAAAAAAGCAAACAAACCTCAAACTATAGTAGTTTATGAATAACCATTATTGCAAAATGAGGTTTTACTAAGATATTTATCATATTGATTCTAAATTTTGTTGAGGTGCACACACAAACAGAACCTGGAACATGTTTTAATCTCTAATTAGAATATTTTGTGCAAATATATAACCCCCAGGGTGATTTGGCCCAAGCGTCTGCACTAATAATAATGGAAACGAAAAGGTATTTCATGATCACTTAACGTAGGCCTATACTGACAACGCTCAAAGAAAACGGATGGCATTTCGTTAAAATTTTCGGCATAGTCTGGGTAAAGGTGGGTTAAAGGTTAAATCATGAACTGACCTGCATGATTAAGTCCAGTTTAGGACAGCTGTCTGAACTGATGACAAGGAGTCTGTTAACAATGGCATACTACTGTAACCTTGTGGTGAATTGAAGAAGTAGCCTACATTGTTTATTAAAAATGTACTGAAGCTTAACTGGCGGAATGCAAGAAAAACCTCCAAGTATAAATAGGTCTATGTTATAATAAAATAAATAATACTTTTATATTATTGTAAAATATCAAAGTGCAAAATATTACATATACTGTGACTCCAGTGTTGTCTAAGAAAGTCCTGAGGTTTAAGGAAACCATGATGCTCAGTTGGCACGTAAACTATGCGATAAAAAAGAAGACAAATTCATGCTTTTATGAGCTTTCAAAAATATGTTTAAAATACATATTTACAAAACATCTACTATAATATAATTAAATATTTGCAATATATATATTACTCTTCTAAATGTATGTCAATTAAGAAACATGCATTTTGCCATATAGTGTAGTTTTAGTTCCATTATCTACCAGAATTACAAATAAATAAATCCATCCATTTGATCTGTTATAATTTATCTTTTGTATTCTGTTCTGTCTAAGATTATCACTTAATCTCGTAAACTCATAAGGAATATGCATTTGATTTGGGCCTTTGAATGGTCTTTAAAGTCACACAAGTCTTTTCTGTACATACAAATCTGTGCTTTTATTCATGCCTTTTTCTAACATATACTGTATTTATGTATAAATTCACAGTTAAATCCATATAAAACTGAAATGTTTACCATAACATCATTTACAGATACATCATTGTAGAAGAGAAAAAAATAAAATAAAATAAAAGGAATGCCCATTTGACGATAATTTTTAGTCACTGGGTTCCCTGTAAAATACTATAAATTTTGGCATCACATATTTATGGACAGAAGGGTGCAAATCTCGGAATACAGAACAAATATATGACATACAATACAAACAAACAAAAATTATATACCACATGGTAAAGACTATAAAATATACAGACATCTGCTACACTAGTTTTGTGCACAAATGATGCAAGGAAAATTTAAAACGGTGTGAGAGAATGTCTCCCTCATACGACTTGAGTCCTGAGAGGACAGAACACTACATCAATGATACGGCTATCTCCTCACATTCAGTTATATATATAAAAAAAAAAACAATTTCAGATTCCACAATAAAGTGATAACTGGATCCCATGCAGATTTTGAAGCTAGAATGTGAACTTTCAGTAAATGCATTGTGATAATGTCATGTTTTATGTTTGTTTGTCTTATTTTCTTTGTTTTGTGTTTGTGGGTGCATGTCTTTTTAACTGAAACAAGTTTGTACTTAGTTCTACACAATGACAGCCATGCCATTATTACCCTGCAAATTGTAAATTACATTTTTTTCCCCAAAGTGACCTTTATTTGCTAAATGCATTACCAAAGCTTGCACTGAACAGATGTAGGCTCCTCTGCAATGCTTTTTTAGACAAAAATAAGTATTACAAAATGAATTCTAAATATTTTGAGACTATTGTGATATGCAATGCCATAAGGCTTCCATAAGTAATCCTGAAGGAAACCTGAAGGTTTGGAGAATCAAATACGTTTAAAGGTGCTATATACGATTTTCAACCACTAGATTGACTTATTTCACTTAAAGGTGGGGTAAGCGGTTTTTAAAAAACGCTTTAGGAAACTGATTCGGGCCAACTAGCAAAACAAACTTGTAGCCAATCAGCAGTAAGGGGCGTGTCTACTCATGATGTGGAGGAGAGAGCGTTCAGTGCACAGGAAGGACATTAGCGAGCCGAGCGACAGAAAGGTAGAGATGGCGGATAAAAAACAAAAGAGGAAAACGTCTGCGGAACTAAAGAAGGCTTAAGGCAATAAGGCAAGTTGTAGGACCCATGTAAATATCGGATCAGCTTTCCAGCGCTGGAGAGAACTCAAGGAGCGGAAGGCCTGCGATCGATCGGACGCCGAGGTTGCTTTGTTTCTTCTCGATAGGTGAGTAACACCGTGTCTGCGCCGCAACAGCTAAAGTCTGTCTAGTACACTGGATGAGACAAAGCGACCGTTGAAAATCATTTGAAATTTGTGTCAATACGTCATAAATAGAACGCAGCAGCAGTTTTCTGTCAGGGATTTCCAGTGTAGACCATAGATATGTATATATATATCTATGGTGTAGACAGCATCACTGATAATAATGAGTTCTATAGTATTTTGTCGCGCCACGCCACTGGCGTCCGGTGTATACACGGTGTAACATTGGTTTTGCTTTGTTTCACAGAACTAATCGTTGCCTGGGTTGCGTACGTATGTGTGGGGCGGAGCTATTAAAATAGGGGCGAGACCCTTTTGGGGTAGGGGCGTGTTTGTTTTGGTGATTTCAAATGTCAACATTGGCTACCAGAAATCGCTTACCCCACCTTTAAAGCCTCTAAGTGCCACCTGAAATGTTCTTTTAAAATTTGTATTTTTCTCAGGCTCTCATGTGTAGGTTTAGTAATTTAACTTTAATGGCAATGAATAGGTTCTTTTCATTGCCATTAAAGTGAAATAACTGAACATAAATATAGGAGCCTGAGAAAAATGCTCATGGCAACTCTTCATATATAATGAGAGATAACTGAGATACCTTTGGCCTTTGTAAACAATGTCAAGTGACTAGCTAAGTATTATGCTAATATAGAAACATGGCATGTGGGAATGCTCCATACTATCTTATTATAAATGCAAGGAGGGCTAACAGTAACAGAAAGGCTCGAATTACACAAACAGAGGGGTTCTGACTTCACTCTCTGCTTAGGATGTTGTTCCTACACTATATCATTACCAGTGTTGGGGGTAACGCATTACAAGTAACGCGAGTTACGTAATCAGATTACTTTTTTCAAGTAACTAGTAAAGTAACGCATTACTTTTTAATTTACAAGAGAATATCTGAAATATGCTTTATGTATTTAATCCCATTCTATTAACCGATGTCTTTGCTTCTGACCTTTGATGATCCAGTTCAATCATAATAATAAGCACAAATGACTCTAGACAAACATTTATGTGTTGAAATGTCTTCTTCTGCATTCTACTTTACGGACGTAAATTTACTTTCCCTTCAGCCTGAGGCTTATTTCACTTTTGGTGTGAAAAGGCTTTTATATTTGCCAAAAATAGAACTTTTTTATTTGAAAAACAAACAAGCAAGCCCTGTCCAGATTTAAAAAGTAACGCAAAAGTAACGTAATGCATTACTTTCCGTAAAAAGTAACTAAGTAACGTAATTAGTTACTTTTTTATGGAGTAACGCAATATTGTAACGCATTACTTTTAAAAGTAACTTTCCCCAACACTGATCATTACATAGCAAATAGTTGCTTGTTGATTCTATAGTATTTATGTGTAAAAATCGTATACAGCACCTTTAACAGCACATGGCTTTTCAATAGTTAGTACTCTGTGGCTTCCACCTTTTTGAATAAGCCTCACATAAAAGTGCAGAAGACAAACCATACGAGGGAAATGTAGATAAATGTAGATGAATCTCATAATACATGGACCTCATCTTCAACATGGACTCTCATTCCTGTCAAATCCCCATGTCTTTCACCTCTTTGTTGTGCGAGGAGTAATTCCAGACCTTCTGAATGTGACACTGGCAGATAGAGACCTGCTCTGTCTGCTTATATTGTCTATCAAACGTCTTTTTCACACTATGCATGTTTGTGGGGCGTGTCTGCGACGGTGGAGGGCAAGGTGGTCTGAGCGGGAGAAGCTGCGGTCACAGTCGCTGCATTTGAACGGTTTGACGCCGGTGTGTTTGCGGTAATGTCGTGTCAGCTCGTCAGAGCGAGCGAACTTCCATGTGCAGTTATCCCACGTACACTTGTATGGCTTCTCACCTGAGAGAGAGAGAGAAAAACACATATAGAGAAAGTAAATAAATAAAGTACTTGACAGGAACAGAACGTTTGTCAAAACTTGACCTGATGGAAATGTAGGCTGACTCACCTGTGTGTGTGCGTCTGTGGGCTTTAAGATGAGAGCTCTTGGTGTAAACCTTATTGCAGCCCTCAAACTCACACCTGTGAATGCGTCTCCTCTTTGAGTCAGGAGACTCTGAAGGCCTGGGCCTCCGCAGGCTCTCGATGCTGAATGGCAACAGGGAACTGCAATGACAGCACATGATTTCTAATGTTATTAGAAGCAATTAAGGGTATCACGAAGACAGTTTTGTTTAGTACAACAATGATAGTCACACACACACACACACACACACACACACACACACACACACACACACACACTCACTCATTTACTGGTATTTCTGTCATTATGGGGACATTCTATAGGCATAATGGTTTTTCTACTGTACAAACAGTATTTTCTATCCCTTTACCATAAACATACCCCTCACACAAAATTCTTCTATGATTATCGGATAATCGGTATGATTTATGAACTGTTTTCCTCATGGGGACCCCACAAAAAAATGTCAGGGACATTACAGGGACATTTGGTCCCTGTAACGCAATGAATACCAGCACACACACACACACACACACACACACGCACGCTCGCACGCACACACACGCACACGGACACACACACACGCACGCACGCACGCACGCACACACACGGACACACAC